ATATATATATATACATATATACATAAATATCCAGTCGAATATTCAGTATAGAGTATTATTCAGCGCAGGATACCAGATATTTTTCAGATAACCGATCATTCCTAATTTCTATCATAAGAACACACATAAAATGCAATGGAATAATTTTGATTCTTTGTGCATATATTATTGCAATTATATACAAGTTGTGCAGGCTAAATTGATCTTAGAAGCTGCATTTGCGCATAATGAGATTAATAAATTAAAAAAACTGACTTATAGAGAAAAGGTCCCTCCCAGTATCCGAAAAAAGATTAAAAATTTTTAATCCATTTAAATCCAAATTCTTAATCCATATATATGGAATATACAAAAGAATTGAACGGTAATTGCATGGTAAAATTGAATCATTTTCTATATAAAAATAGTACAAATTCTTTTCATAGATTTAAGTGTATTCGAATGGATTCAAATAGATTCATTTTTTATGAATTCAGATGGATTCAAATGAATTCAAATTATTAATCAGCTTTAGAAGAAAGGCTCCATTATATGAGATACCGAGTTCATTTTAGGTAAATACTAGAAGTCCATAAGTAGAATTGAAAAAATAATAGATCATTTTGAAGAGAATTTAATAACCTTTAAGATAACGTTATATAAAATTTAATTCAAATTCCATTTTTTTTGCAATTAAAGAAATGTAAAAAGTGAGCAAATTGCAAAGTCAAAAAATTGTGCTCCTAATATGAGATATCCCGAGAAATCGATAGTAAACGCAAAGTATATCAGTATCGCAATTAAAACACTTTATGTAATGTTGTAAAATAATGTTTCTAAAATACAAACAAACACAGCCAGCGTGCGCGAAAAATAATTGCATACGATAGATTATACCCAGAAGGATCGTCTTCAGATAGTTGGAATCAAGCATCGCAGAAATAGGCACTCGACGTTCATTCCGATTGTCTTTTTTATTAATATCCAATAACATTTATACTTTAACAACGATTTTCACTATAACATAGGAGCATGGGTTATTTCATATTAGAAATACCCTGCGTATTTCATATTACGATTTCCACGCCTACAGGTTTTTATGATCATCAAATCTAACTTCTATAATTAAACAGTTCAACATATCCTGTATTTTTTTAGTACCATACTCTATCACTACATAAAGAATGTCTTGCCAAATATTTATTAATATTTATTAAATAATAAACAAGGTTTAAAGATTCATCTCAATGAAACTTGAAAACATCCAAATTCTAAAATCTTGTTTTACAATGATTACAGACATGATCTAATAATGAATTTTCTACTAAATAGTTTTCAATCCAAGAGCAATAAATTCATGGTGGAATCACTCAGTAAACGAGAATGGATTAAAATAGATTGAAATTTTTTTCTATCCGAATGCGTATTTTAAATAGCAAATATTTTTTTTTGATTTAATTACACGAATCCAATTGGACTCAATTGGATTCAATTACATTCAATTGAATGCAATTGGATTGAAAAACTGCATTTCCTATTCAAAATTTTGGATTGGACAGTATTCATAGTGCACAGAAAAAACTATTATTTTTAGATTGAAAGGCATAGAGATATGCTCCATGCAATTCCTATAAATGAATAAAAATGCATTCAGGATTGAAAAGCATTCATTTTAACATTCGTGAACAAATATTTCTGAAAATCTGAATCCATTTCAATTCATTTCAATCCATTCTCGTTTGGTGGGGAATACATAGCGTTTATTAGTTTAACAGAAACGTCGATATCTTATATTAGGCGCTTATCTCATAATAGGGGGTTTTCCTCTAATATTAATTAATCCAGTTTTATTGCTAAAATATTATTATAAACTGGTCCATATTATATTCTAAAATGCACACACCCATACACACCCATCCACTCACTCACACACACACACACACACACACACACACACACACACACACACACAAGCGCGCGATAAAATTATAATAAAAAAGTTTTCACTTAAATTAGAGAATTAATTTTTATGATGCTCTCAAACAATCACCCCAATATCTCATATTAGGCGCCTATTTCATAATAAGGGCTTCCCAAGCAGAACAAGAGTCATTATGCTGCCAAAATGACTCTAAAATAATCATTAAAAATCATTTTTCTATCATTTCCGATTCATTCTAATGTCATTTTGACGTTATATCGCATTGTTGTTCTGCTTGGGAATTTTCTCTATCTGTGCATTTTTGAGAAGCGCGTTACATATCATCATCAATGTTGCCTTCCAACAAGAGACACACATAATACGTGATGTGATGCATTTACTTTCTTATACGTTCCTACGTTCACTGCCAGTGCTGAAAATCTATAGCGCATGTAACGTATACTGTATAGTTCAGCATTGACAGTGAATATCAGAACGTACCCCTTTTTATTCGCCAATGTTAAACAAGAATGAGATGATCACTGTTGTACTGAGTCGTTTGTTGGAAGGCATTTTATCACAGTATAACACATAGTTATACTGTGACCCAGTGCTACTGCTAGAACTGTGTTGAATGATATTCAATGCTGTATTCCTATGCGATATTCTGTCTTGTTTTAATTTCTGCCTAATTAACATTAAAAATAGGCTATGCCACGTATTACGCTTTTTTAGCTCAATTTCTTGGCATCGTTCATAGCTTCTCTTTTTTTCTTCATGTTGAAGAGAAAAGGAGGAAAAATTGTGAAAGAAGTCCAGTTGTAAAGAACAGACTTATAACACTATCGATTCGTCGTTCCTCCTCAATTCCCTGTTCCTCTGTTTTACGTGATGTGACGTGGTGGCTGTGTGCACAGTGCAGACCGTGCAGCAGGTGATAGTCGTGATCGTGTACTGTACGGTGTTGATGGCGGGATAGTTGGACACAAGTAGCCGGTTGTGTTCGAATTAACAGTCCTGGATATTATTCTTGATTACTGTAGACTACCGCACGCCCAACTTTCATCATGTTGCAATCGATATTTGACGATGTACGACGTATGAACAAGCGCCAGGTAAATCATCCTTCACGACGACGATTGTTACCGTTGTGAGCTGGTGGTCACATATGGTGGCTATGTAAGAATATTCTGATTTTTAGTTTTTATATCAACTGCTGAGCTTTGGCATGATAGTCTCATCAGCGTTGATGATATGGAAGGGTCTGATGGTCGTCACCGGCAGCGAGAGTCCTATCGTGGTTGTATTGAGGTATACCTAACCTAACTCCACCTATCTAACTCCGTTTTTTATTAATTTTTAATTAGCCATTATTGCTAAATTTGTCAAGTTGAAATCAATACTACCTGTTTTCATGAATCACGACATGTACTACATTTTTTTGCATTTAAAAAAGTTTTTTGTTATTTGCATATGTACAAAATACATTAAGCTATAATAGACTTGATGATTGGAGATTTGTATTGTAATATTGCATGTTATTAGTACATAATTCAGTCATACAAGGGAAATATTGGTCAATAATATTTAATAGGCTGATACTGATTTAATGTTTGTTCCAGTCGAAGACATAGAGAATGGACTGTTCGAGCGTATCTAAGTAATATGGTCGACAAAAATGAGAAAGAGGGACCGTGGAAGACGACCAATCTCCCTTTCATTCTCTTTCGTTATATCGTTGAGTGGAAAGAAATAAAGATTGTTCGTCTTTCACAGTCCCTCTCTCTCATTTTTGTCGACCATACGACTTAGATACAATCGAGCAGTCCATTCTTTTTGGTTCCAGTATATTGAATGTTATTCAATTCCTTTTACAGTGGCAGTATGGAGCCTGCGTTTCACAGAGGTGATTTGCTCTTCCTTACCAATTATCAAGACGAACCAGTGAGAGTAGGAGAGATCGTTGTTTTCAAAGTCGAAGGCAGAGACATACCTATTGTACACAGAGTACTTAAACTTCATGAGAAGTAAGGACTCTTATGACCCATCTTGTTAACATACAATATCAAATATAAAGAACGATTTTAAAATGTATGCATAAAAATTCTAGGGGTGACCAAAATAATACGGTCAAGTTTCTTACGAAAGGTGACAACAATTCTGTAGATGATCGAGGTTTGTATGCACCTGGTCAGCTCTGGTTGACGCATAAGGATGTGGTTGGCCGAGCGAGAGGCTTCCTACCATATGTTGGCATGGTCACTATATACATGAATGAATATCCTAAATTTAAGTATGCAGTATTAGCATGTCTTGGACTGTACGTTTTGGTACATAGAGAATAAAATTGTTCGATAAGTTCAAACATTATATTGCGATAATCTGATCGTTTCTGAGTAAATGCGTAATTTACTAAAAATAAGGACACACATACCAAACTGCACAACATAATAATTTAGTGCATACATTGCTGATCTTGTACTATTAATGAAGAATACTAAAATGTTCAGGCCAAAGTGCATTTTCTTGTATGTAAATATATTTGCATATTTGAATCGATAATCTCAAATTAAATATTTTTGCTGGAATTATTACGTGTAAATTTATATTAAATATTTTATCTTGATTTTTACATCAAGATTCGATATTTCGTGGTGAATACTCTAAAAAATAATAAAAAATAATAAGAGATGATAATTTTTGTTTTTCAGAGTATTGAGATGCGCGCGTGCTAGATTAAAATGGCAATTACTAAAGGCATTAGCTATAAAGGCCATTTCGAACAACTCCAATTAACTTTAATCTGTCGTTAACCTTTAGACTGCCGGCATTTTTTCATTAAAATAGTGATTCTTTTTTTTTTCAAAAATTTTTCTTTATAAGTAACATACACATGGCGAAAAATTTCAAGATTTATTCAAAGCTAAAAGTGGCTTTTCCGGTAAGGAACATAAATTAAATATAAAAAATGTTTATTTTCTCAAAAATAGTGTATTTTGGGGGTTTTTTGTTATCGCTGATTCCAATTCTGAGCATAAATTTATAAAATTTTGAGCCCTAAGCGCAATAACAACATAAATGAATATAAACGTATAGATTCAGAACTTTCCTATTACCCACAGCTAACGACGTAGTCGTAAAAAGTTTGAGGCTTCTTTTTTATTTTCCTTTTTATTTAATTTTTTAATTTTTTATTTTTTTTTCTTGTTTTATAATTACTAAAAGTAATGGTGTTTTAATCCAAACTCAAGAGCCACAAAAGTGACTTTTCTGGCATTCTAAAGGTTAATAAATGCAATTGGTCAATTCTAATGGACTAATCGTCGATTAAAATTAATCGGAATCGATCAAAATGGCACTAATATTGCAATGTCTAAAAGACATAAGTAAAGTTAAAAAGAACTAGACAATTTTTTAGAAGTTCTCATTTTTGTTTCTCAGGTAATAATTTATAAAAGTGACGCCACTGTTTGTGACAAGATAATCTTTGTGGCGCACTGTAGCATTTATATACGTTAGAGAAATCATTGTTTATTTTTCTCTGCTTTCACTTGAAAAGAGCGGCAGCGTATTATATGTAAAACCCGAAAGAAATAAATTTTGTTGTAATTCTTAATGTGGCACGCTGTATAATTACTTTTATTTCAGATATGGAATAAATTTGTAATATTTGGGTACAATGCGGTACTGTAAATCCCTTAGTTTATAATTAATTTACAATAAGTTGTGCATTTTGATCTTTTATAAGTTTTATTTCCTCAATTCTATCAGTAAGTAGTTAGAATGGACGATAAAATTAAATTAAAACACATTACATGCAATTTATCATGGAACATATGTTTTTATATCAAATAAACTTCTGTTATCAAAGTTCATAAGTTATCACATACATATATTAATGTGATATCACAATTTGTTAATTGCTCCTTAGTGGAGCAGAAAATTATCACCAT